TAGTCTTTAAAAAAAATATTTTTTTTAACGTTTATTTATTTTTGAGACAGAGAGAGACAGAGCATGAACAGGGAAGGGGCAGAAAGAGAGGGAGACACAGAATCTGAAACGGGCTCCAGGCTCTGAGCTGTCAGCACAGAGCCCGATGTGGGGCTCGAACTCACGGACCGTGAGATCATGACCTGAGCCAAAGTCGGGCGCTTAACCGGCTGAGCCACCCAGGAGCCCCTAACATTAGTCTTTTAAAAAGCTGGAGGGGGGGGCTGTATTACTGTCACACAAAGTAAATTTCAGGGCAAAGAATATTACGAGGGATAAAGAACAGTTCAAATGATAAAGGGGTCAATTAATCAAGAAGTTACAATAACCTTAAATGTTTATGCGTCTCATACTGGAGCTTGAAAATAAATGAGACAAACATGGACAGAATTGTAAGAGGAAACAAATCCACAATTATAGTCACAGATTACAATACTTCTCTCTCAATAATTGATAGAAAATCAGGAAGTATTTAGAAGATTTCAACAACACTATCAGCCAACTTGATTTAATCGGCATTTACAGAAAATAAGCCAACGAAGGAGATAAAATGGGACCCTAGAAATATTTAATTAGGTCAGTCATGGCAGTCTTGTTTGAGAGTCTACACCAATCTGAGCAGTGTCTTGGAGACTTACAGGGAAGAGAGAGGAATGTGATAGTTGGAAGAACAAGACGTCTAAAGCAACAGCACAGCTAAGAAAATGGAAGAGGAACGGGGATTTTAAGAAGCATGGCTGAGACATATAAACTGTATCCCTTGCAAGTTCTGTTAAAGCATAACAGGAAAATCAGATTTGCTGTAAATTACTCCAGGTTGGGGCACAGCAGTTCACTGAATGAAACCAAAATGGAATCAGGGGAGCTCTCTATTTCATTCAAGTTTGGGTCCTCCATTTAAGGTCGACCCAGAAGGAATAATGTAATTCTAGACACAGCTCCAATGCTTACTCTCACTTGGACAAGACTGTTCACCACCCCCACGTCTGTTTCCCATATATGTAAAGTGGGAATTCATTCATTCACTTACTCATTTATGCAACAATTAGATTAATTTATTGGGCTTTTACTACCTGGTAGGCCCTGTAATAGCTACTTTGAACAAGGGAGACAAAGGTCCCTGATGACAAGGAACTCAGAGTCTAATGGGGAAGAGAGACGACAAACTAATAAACAAAGAAATATGTGATGTGTGAGTTGATGATGAGTGCTCTGCTGAAAATAAAGCAGAGTAAGAAAGAGAGAAGACACAGGTGGGCCAGGCATTCTGACATTCTGACATGGCACACAGACATGCAGAAATCAGGGTGAACCAGGTGGAAAGTTGGGTGGGGGAGAAGAGGCATCCAAGGCAAAAGGCATCCAAGGGAAAGGTGGGGCCGAGGGCCCTGAGGTGGGGGTGCACGTGGAGGTGGGGAGGAGCAAGGAGGCCACTGTGGCTGGAAGCGTGATCAAGGTCATATAGGTAGTGGAGTTTTTATCAGATAGGGCCTCGTAGCCATGGTAACAACACTGGCTTTGACTGTGAGATGGGGAATCATTGGAGGTTTTCCAGCATTTGAGTGGCAGGATCTGACTTGTGTGTTAAAAAAATTACTCCGGCTTCATGTTGGGAGACAGACTACAGGGAAGGAAGGACAGCAGGAGGGGGGCTGCTTAATCAGTAAAGGCACAAGTGAGGGAGTTAAGGGTTCAAGGCTTGGATCCAAATGGTGATATGGTAGTGGTGAGGAGAGGCTGAACTCTGGATTTCTCTCAAAGGTACAGTGAATAGAATTTGCTGATGGATGACATGAGGGGATGAAAGTGAAAGAGAAATGTCAAAGATGACCCCAAGATTCTTGGTCCGAGCCACCTGGGTGAAGGGAGAGGCCATTTATTAAGATGGGAGGATAATGATACGTAGTCCTTGTGAGGCTGTTTCAGGGAAGAAATGAGAACATGCGTGTGAATGCACTTGCTGAACTTGAAAACACCATATGGATGTAAAATATGAAAAATAACTCTCTGAGGAGCTGCTTATTGTCAAATAGGCCCAGATACTCAGGTCTTAAGGCCCCAAAATAGTGTTGACTTTCTCACTAACATTTTTCTGCTCAATAAGGAAAGTTATTCTGAATGTCCCAGTCTACCAACAAGGACTAATTTACAGTAATTCTGATTTTTCCTTTTATGTTTTAATAAACATTAAAGTAGATAAAATTTATAACCTCAGCCATGCTTCTTGAAAATTCCTTTCTCGGGGCGCCTGGGTGGCGCAGTCGGTTAAGCGTCCGACTTCAGCCAGGTCACGATCTCGCGGTCCGTGAGTTCGAGCCCCACGTCGGGCTCTGGGCTGATGGCTCAGAGCCTGGAGCCTGTTTCCGATTCTGTGTCTCCCTCTCTCTCTGCCCCTCCCCCGTTCATGCTCTGTCTCTCTCTGTCCCACAAATAAATAAACGTTGAAAAAAAAATTAAAAAAAAAAAAAAAGAAAATTCCTTTCTCTCTACCATTCTTTAAGCTGTAACACTATTCTGATATTTCTTTCCTTCCCTACACAATGGGGCTCGAGAAAGCTTTTTTTACGTTTAAATGGAAAAAAAATTGTAGTCCATAAGAAACTCTTTTAATTTCCTTGGGTCATCCCTTGTGGGACTAATTTTGTCCACCCCTGATTTAGGCCACAATGGGTCTCTGGCAGTGTTGTTAAGAAAGCTATTGCCTATTTTTCAGGGCTACTTTAGGCTTTCCTAGTATATTTCTTGGCAGATGGGTAATTTTTACATGGGAGTCTAGAAACACGAAATAACTGTGGAAACTGTCAGAAGTTGAGTTACATATTTCTTCTGTCATCTGCAGGGTCAAGATAGCTTGGAATGTCTCAATAATTTTACAAATGAACCAAAAGAAAAAAATTTACTGAATTCAAATCAGTTAGTTCAGTTCCCAGCAGCGTAAATGAAGAGAATGTGGGAGATGGGAGTGTGTCCCCTGGGGAAATTACTCGGTATGTAAAGTTTGCTGTGGGAATTAAATAAGGGAGTGCTTGTGAAACTCCATACTAGGTGGGGTGAGCTGCTGATCCTATAAGGAAGTTTTTTTTAAAAAACTGAACTTTTGAGGACAGATACATCCAATCCTATTTTTGTTGTCTCTCTCTTCAGCCTGTCCCACCCTCCTCATTTCTCTCTCTCTCTCTCTCTCTCTCTTTCCCTTGCTCACTCTATCCTGCTCATGCTCCTGTTCCTTTAGCAAATAGTTACTGAGCATTTATGAGCAAGTATTTTTGCAAAAGATGAAGAATGTTTTCCTGTATGCTATAAAGACCTAACAGAATTCTCTGACCCTTTGTCTCGCAACTGGGATGTTTACATCAAGGGGGGGGAAATTCCACTTAACATTTGGAATAGATGCCAGGGGTATGATCAGAAGGAGGAAAAGGCGACTTCACAACCATTTCATGACACATCTTCATGAGATGCTAACGTAACTGGGGAGAAGCTAGCTGCCCTTCATCATGATGGTGGAAAAAAGACGAAATGTGTAGCAAGGGTCTGGCTCACTCTCCCACAACTGTCCACTGGCCGCAGGCAGAACAGCTGTGGCAAAATCCCATCTCAGGCTCTGGGAACAGCTTGGTCTCAGGATAATGCTATCCAAATTCTTCAAATCCGTGCCAGAGCTCAAGGGCAGTACGGGGTCTCCAGCTTGTTGGGAAACCTTTTCTTTCTCTGGGGTTCCCCATGCCTGACTCCCTCTGGTGCCCTGACTGGGAGGTACCTATCTTTTCTTGAAACCTTGAGCTTTCCATGTTCCTTGGAATACCAAGGCACTAACTCCCTACAACATCATTCTTTACTTCCTGATCACATGCTGCTGTGGTCTGCTCATGTGCTGGGGTGTGTACTTCCTGTCCTAACCGCTCTCTCCTGGACCTCTTTAAATGCTTCTATTTGAATGTGTCTTACTCACTGGCTAGTCCCTGGGTTTGGGTTTTTGTAGCCCCTAAATCTCTAGCACTGTAGAGCACTAAACCTCTAGAATTATAATCAATTCTCAGTTTTCATTTCCATTTTATGACTTTAAACCATCTCATGAATGCATACACCCCAAAGGGAATTAATGAGATGTTTCTAGAGGAGCTAAGCAGAATGATAGCCTGTGGCAAACGGTACCCGCAGAATAATTGAAAAACAATCCATTCCCTTCTGTTGGTTAGACATTCCCCTCTTCAGTGATATGGCCCAACTCCTTTCTAAGTGCTCACATTTACTGAGAGAGTGGTGTCCAAGCAGTTTAATTGAATAAACCATGGCATTACCCAGTTGTCAATGAAGATTTCCTGTACAAATCATTGGTTTGATCTGTGAAATGAAACTTATTTCGTTTATTCTTTTTATGCTACTTGAAATAACTGCTCATGCCTCTCAACCTTAAGAACTGAAAATGATCATATATTTCCTATGTTTTGGTCATTTTTTTAAAGGACTTCGCTGAACACTACACTCTAACACTGATTTAACGTTAATTGTTTGAAAGTCGCCTATAGCACCTGCTCATGTCTCTTGGACGTGGTTGTTAAAGAAGGTGAGAGAGGATGAATCATAGAGTCTGAAAGATCTAGATGCCACTGAAAGGTACACAAAGCCAATGAAACCTCCTAAACCAGAATCACTTAGCATGCTTGAATTGCACTGGAAATCCTATTAGAAAAAAAGAAGGAAATCAATCTATTTTGACAGCACAAATGCACATCCAGTAATCATAAGAATTGAGGTTTGTAGTAAATATAAAAATCAAGAAGTTTTACAAAAGTTTTATAAAAACTGAAGTTTATAGTAAATATAAAAACCAAGAATCTCTCATGAATCCTTTATATTTCCTTCCATGCAGTTCTCTGAAGATCAGCTTTTCTTTTTAAAATTTTTAAGAAACGGATAAAAACCTCTCCCAAACTACCACTTGGAGAAGAAACACTTACCCAGAATGCTTCATGTTTTGAGGCTTATCCATTCGGACAGCAAGTTTGATTTTGAGGTCTTGATCGGGGCAGTTTTTGGAGACTGTCATTTTGTGCCACTCTGACTGTTTGGGGCTGTTTGGGGTAGGGTGGAGAATAACCTGTAGGCGAAAAGGACATCCATGTTAGCCAGAAAGCGGAGACACTGTTACAGGCGTGTTGTTTTCAACGAGAAACTCTGCTGCTGAGAAGCTGCGCGTCTTGCCCAGCTCCCAGGGAGGCGTTTAAATGAAACAGAGGCTTGGCCACAGGACTGCAATTCAAGGCTTCATCTACCAACCGTGGCTGCCTCGTGCCAAGCAGAGACCAGCCAGCGGGCAGAAATGGTGTTCTCCTGTTCTCCTCTCTCTCCCTGTCTAATTCAGGAAAAGTAACGATCATGATTTCGGTCACTCTGCTTGTGCATCTTTCTGAAATTTCGAAGTCCCAAAGCAACCCAGGACAGAGACTCAGGCTCATCATCCATATAAGAAGGCGGATGTATGAAAGAAAGACATGAGAGATTACACAGTAGAGTACCTCTCGTCCGCTCATTTTTCGCTCCTCAGGATTCCTTCCCCTGTCTCAGGAGGAGGAAATCTCTCAAAGGCCATGGGGAATGCGGAAGGGACTTTATGGGATGGATGAGAAATGAGAGGCCTAGGGAAGGGAGGGCTCTGGCTGACAGTCACGCATTTACATAGACGGTCACACCCATGGGGCATCTCCTCAGGTAACAAACACCGAAATCTGTCCGGGTTTGAAAGGATGCCCACACAGCAGGAAGGATGGGCTCTCAGAAAGCGTCTTTTTGACCCTGCGCTGCCGAGTTGGGGCTCCAATGTGAGGTTCTGTCTCAGAGGCTGCAAGTGAGGCAATGAGCGGATAACTCGGGACATCCGCCTCTTCATTTTGTGACCGGAGTTGTCAGGAGCCACGTGGGGTCTGAAGAACACGCACTGGGGCAGGAGTGGAATATCTGGAAAATCCCCTGGACTGAGGGAACAGGAACTAAATGCAGGCGCGACAAAAGCTGGGCCTGCTAAGATGTGCTTTTGTGGTGGCCGCGGGCCCCGATTTGTTGCCTGCTGCTCTGGCTCTGTTTTCAAAGCATCTCCTTTCTCTGGGTGCAGGGGGAGGCCGCCTCTCTACTGGGCTTCTTTCACCTCTGCAGGGGGAGGGGAGGGGTTCGGAGGCTTGGAGGCGGACCCTGCGGCCTTCCAGAGGCTGCCAGCCTCACTGCCCTCATGCGCCCGGCTGGCATGTAGAGGGTGGGAGCATATGGCTTCCCGTGAGGCGGCACAACAGGAGCTCGGGGCAGAGCGAGCCGGTGTGGCAGAAAAGCAGAATCGGCCCGCTCTGATAGGCCTCGTTGGTGCTGAATTTTCACCCCTTCTCCCTCGGGGCCTGACCCCTCCCCGCACCCCCCCCCCCCATTAAATTCCCTGACTCTGATGAAAGAAAATTCATCCATTTTTGCTAAACACAGAATTTGAGTTTTCCCAATGTCTTATGTATGGCATGATGGAAATACCAGGGCTGATTTTTCAGACCAGAGGCTGCTCAAGTTTTTCTGACCATGCCCTGTGCCCATAAAATATACTGAGCAAATAGCCCAATACCTGTAAATATATTGCGACCAATATAAAAATATATCACCATCAATATATAAATATATAAAATATCATTATATATCTATGTAAGTTATATAACTAGATATCATTGTATTTATACTTTATGTTTACATTATATACATTTACTTTGTATTAATATATTAGCTTATTACATATATCATAAAATACACACAAATATAGAAGTCTTAAAAATGAGCTACGGATAAAAACTATATATATATATATATATATATATATATATATATATATATACACACACATATATATATATATACACATATATATATATATTTTTTTTTTTCCCCCTTAAGTTTATTTTGAGAAAGAGATAGCATGAGTGGGGGAGGGGCAAAGAGCGAGGGGGAGACACGGAATCCCAAGCAGGCTCTGTGTGGTCAAAGCACAGAGCCCAACGTGGGGCTGGAACTCACAAAACCGTGAGATCAAGGCCTGAGCCGAAATCAAGAATCAGATGCTCCACCGACTGAGCCACCCAGGTGTCCCAAAAACTGTATTCTTACATGTCTCGCTAATTGTGGCGGCTTGGAACTATTATTAGCTATATTTTAAGGTATCATATATATTTAGGGCAAGGCTCATTGTTAATGATACTAGATGTAAGTCTGCAGTTCACGTAGTCTTTTGTTTTTTTTAATTTATTTGTTTATTTTTGGAGAGAGAGAGAGAGAGAGAGAGAGAGGGAGGGAGAGAGGGAGAAAGAGAAAGAGTGAGCATGAGCAGGGGAGGGGCAGAGAAAGGAGACAGAGAATCCCAGCAGGCTCTGTGCTGTCAGAGCCTGACATGGGGCTCGATCTCACCACCCTGAGATCTCGACCTGAGCTGAAACCAAGAGTCAGACGCACAACTGACTGACCCACCCCGGCGCCCCAAGCAGTTCAAGTAGTCTTGTAAATAATTTCAGAACATCTTGCCTGACACCTGATCTTATCTGATTACACGGGCAATGACTTTATCTCATGATGTGGGTGACAGAGGTCCTGCTCAGTAAGGCGATGTCAGCTCCACCATTTTTTTTGTGTTTTTTTTTTTTTTTTTTTTTTTGCCAGGCTTGCAATAGTAGTATCTTAAGATTATAGCACTTTTTGGGGTGCCCGGGTGGCTCAGTTGGTTTAGCGTCCGATTTCCGCTCAGGTCATGATCTCACGGTTTGTGAGTTTGAGCCCCGCTCAGAGCCTGAAGCCTGCTTCAGATTCTGTGTCTCCCTCTCTCTCTGCCCCTCCCCCGTTCATGCTCTGTCTCTGTCTCAAAAAATAAATAAATGTTAAAAAAAAAAAAAAGATTACAGCACTTTGTAGTAATCTTTTTTAGACCATTTGTTCATTTTGTGAGGGTTGCTTTAGTTAAAATTGTTTCGTAAAATGTATAAATTCATGTAACTGGTGCCAGAAGAGTATAATATGTCGTAGGATGCTGAAGGCAAGTACGTCAAGATGCCACTGGGGGTGCGGGTGGGGGTGCACCTCTCCCTCCCCTCAAGAGAACGCCCGTCCCTATAGGTCACTCCATATCCTGTTCCGTTTCCGGGGACCCCAGCATTTGGGAGATGGAGGGAGGTGCCGCCCTTCCTAGGGAAGCTGACCCTCTCTCCTGAGCCAGTCTGGCCTGAGAGGTGAAAGGGGTGATGTGCTGGGAAGCAAGGAAGGGGAGGGGGCTGGGAAGAGAAAGCCCAGCCAGGGCCAGAACAGCAGCAGGCAAGCCCCCGAGCCTCCTTCTGCTCCTGCCCGCTTGGCAAAATCAAAGCAGGAGCCTCGCTCTGGGCGCCCGGAGCTCGTTAACAGGACTTCCACCATATGGATTCTGGGCGTGTTTCCCACCGGCAATATGGCGTCCATTCGCCGACACGAATGACCACAGCTCATTACTGGCCGCTCCACAAAGACTTCCTCCGTGTGGTGGCTCCCCGGGGAGACTTCCTCTCCAGGGTGGATGGAGAGGTGAGGTCACTGCTGTTCTTCTCCATCTTCCCCCCCCCCACCCCACCATGTGCCGACGGGTCGACGTCTCCTTTGTATGTGTCAGCCCTGCTGAATTATTAGGGTCCTCCTGGGTGCACGTGAGCCCTGAGCAGTCCAGACACCTCATCTGGACATTCCAGGATGCTAATCAAGCACTTTGTCATCTCAGCCGAGGCCCATGTGTGCTGCGCTTTGATGTGGTGATGCCGATGTGGGAACACAACCCACTCTGTGCAGTAAGCAGCATGCCGGCCAGCCCCAGCTTCTCTTAGTTACCTGGCGGCACAGTCAGGTCCTTGGGGGGGGGGGGGGCGGTTTTAACCCTGAGCCTTTTCCTGGCTGATCGTCTCCAAGCTTCAGCCTGTACATCCTTCCCTACCTCCGTATCCACTTGACCTGACCCCAGGAAGGCATCCCTGACCCTCAGACTGGATTGTGTCCCCTAGCTATGCACTTCCCAGGTGTTCTTCCTCTAGCAGAGCACTTACCACATTGCAGTATAATTTCTGGTTTGTTTTTTTTTAATGTTTATTTATTTTTGAGAGAGAGAGATCATGAGTGGAGAAGGGGCAGAGAGAGAGAGGGAGACACAGAATCTGAAGCAGGCTCCAGGCTCCGAGCTGTCAGCACAGAGCCCAACGCGGGGCTCGAACTCACGAACCGCGAGATCATGACCTGAGTCGAAGTCGGATGCTCAACCGACTGAGCCACCCAGGCACCCCTATAATTTCTGTTTTTTTAGATCTATATCCCTTATGTTCTTTTGAAGCTAAAGATTTTTGCCTGTCATTAGTCCTGTTTGCTCTCTGCATGCCACAAATGATGGGACACCATGGGCTCACAATCATATCCAGTGAATGGAAGTTTGATAATATTACAGGGTTGGCAAGGGTGCAGAGGAACCCTCACTTTTGCCTTTTGTGGAAGTATCAATTGGCGTATACTCTTTAAGGGACAATTTGGTAGAATCTGTCAAAATTCAGATTTCATTCAGCAAAATATTTTCTGAGAAACCATCCTACGCATATACACACATATGCACAAAGAAATAAATTTAAGGTTATTCACGGAAGCATTGCTTATACAGCCAAAGACTGGAAATAATCTAAGTATGTTATGATACATCTATACCTGGAATATTACACAGCTATGAAACAGGAAGCAAGTCAGTATGGGCTGACGTGAACTAATCTCTAAATACACTGATATTTCAAGCAAAGTACAAAACAGTATGTATACAGTAATTTCCTGCTGTTCGTTCATTCATTCGTTCTTTCTTTTTTAGAGGGATATGTACACATATGCTTGTATATGCTATGCTTATACAGGCATAGAACACTAGGGGAAGAATACACAATAAATTGAAAACAAGGCTTTTCCCTGGAGAAGATACTAGGGCAAGGTGGGAACAATCACTCATTGTCACTATTATCCATTAACTTCTTTTTTTACAATGCATGAATTTTTTTTCAATTAAAAAGGTCGATGAAAAGTAAAACATAATGAATACGGCACAAACTAAATGTTGTTGAATGAATGAATGAATGAATGAATGAATGAATGTAGCACTGGGATTTCAAATGTGGCTGTGTCCTGCTAAGCCTGGGAGCAATTAAAGCATAGAAACACTCCCCCAGGGGTACAAGGAATTGCTTCACTTAAAAAAAGAAAGCAGTCATCACCAGTTGCGGCCTGTGGAGGTGCTTCCAGAGGAGGGCACCCCAGCTGGCACATGGACCTGGCTGGCCAGTTCCACGGCAACTGGTAGAAAGTGTCTCCGGTAGGAAGAGTCAGTTCATATCTAGGGGAACATCTATGGGGCTGGAGAAGAGAATGAGTTCTTAAGAAATGAATAACTACAGGGTTGTGGCAAGCTCGTGGCATTCATCAAAGCAGCAGAGCCCAGGGTTTTATTTCTGCACAGGGACGATGTGATACAGTGGGAATGGTCCTGGAGATGAGTCAACATCATTCCTGGCAAGTTACTTACCTCCTCTGGGCCCCAGCGGACTCATCCGTACAAGATGAGTAATAACTCATCAGGGTTATTATCGGTGAGATAATATAGCATGCTATAACAGGGTTATAGCATCGGTGAGAGACTGCAGAGCCTCGGGGCAGTGCCCTGGTCACTGGCAAATGTACAGGGCATGGGAACCAACCAACTGAGTGGGTCTAGGGAAGCTTCCTGCCTTCTGTGGGAATCTGTTTTCTCTTCTATAAAACAAAAGGTTTGACTAGCCCAGTGGGTTTAACTTTTCTGAGTGGAAACAGCTTTGAGAAATTGGTGAATGCTTTGGACTGGCAAGTCCAGAAAAATGTACATATGCCCCCTCGCTACCTCAACATTTGCAAACAATTTCATGGGGTTCCTGGATTCCAGGGAACCTTCTGTGGACTCAAGTTGAGCATTCCTGGACTTGTCTCTCCGAATACTAATATTCTGGTCTAAATCCTAGTAATACGATTCCAGGTCAGCTGTATAGATGAAAGCCAGATTAAGGAAGCAGGCAAAAAAGGAAGAAAAAAGAAAGCACACTTAATGTATTCTTGCTGGCGTTGTTAGAAGTGTGTGCCTGTGTGCTAGTCTCGACGTATTCTCTCATTTTTCCATAGATGACACATCAGAGGGTTAGAGAGGTTGAAAGTTTTGGCTGAAGTCATACAGTTTTCAGAAGGGATTATGTAATCAACCAGTACGAAGTGAAATGTATTGGGAGTCTCTGTGCCGGCCTCTGGGTATATAGGGTAGTGAACAAAATAGTTTAGGCTTCTATGCCCACGGGGTTTTCATCATCCAGTAGGGGAGACAGAAGCCAACATTTCTGTAAATTCTTCTCTCTTTCTCTCCTTGGCGAGAAGTTTAGTAGAGAGGGGGCTGAGGCAGTGAATGAAGGAAGATGGGCAGTCAGGAAAAGTCTCTTAGGAGGAGAAGGCATTGATGCAAGGAAGGAGGCAGCCTTTTGAAGAGCTGTGGACAGTGGGGAGAGCGTTCCACTCAGGGAGAAAGCCCTCTGATGCAGGAAAGAATGGTTTATGTAGCAGACTGAAATTTGGCCAACGAAGCTGGGACATAGTGGATAAGGGGAAAGGTAGTCACAACTGAGGCCGAGGAAGTAGGCAGAAGCCCAATCACATGAATCCTTGTAGGCTATACTACAGAGTTCAGGTTTTTCTTATAAGCAGTATGGGGTGATGGAAGCATTTTAAGCTAGCAAATCTAACTTACGTCCTGAAAATACAGGCTGTTTGGTGTCGAGTCAATAACTGGGAAGTAAGAAGAAATGTCTCTATTATCTCAGGGGTGCTCAAAGGGATTGGTACCACCCTTTGGGATGTTTCAGCAATTTGGGGGACATTTTTGGTTGACCAAACGGTGCTGGGCTCTGTTGGTATTGAATGGGTGGGGCCTGGGGATTCGACATGCCATACGATGAATGAGATATTCCTCCCCGGGGAGGAATTGTCCTGAATCTCACCTAACTTCTAAATATTCCCACTGGATACGAATGGAGGTGGAAAAGCCTGTCTATAATTAATTGAGTCCAGATCTTAAATCTTTCGTTTACATAGTGTTAAAAAGAAAACCAGAGGCCCAAAGTGGTGTCACTTAGACCTTATTCCCAAACCGGTGCTCAGTACGTAATCTACCTGCAGTTCCAACCTCCCCCAGAAATGTAGGCCTAACATGTCAGTCAGGAATTTTCCAATCAGCACCCATGCGTCTGCCCTCTCCATCCTCCTGCAAAGAAAGATGGGGTAATTTGCGAGATAAGACCCCTCACTTTCACCCTGAAGGAAAGCCACCTTGCCTAAAACAATCCTTTTCTTTTGCTAATAATTTTCTTGCCCCATTGGCACATCTCTTCGGAGCCCCCTCTACTTGCAGTCGGGATGGAATGCTGCCTTATCCACGAATCATTACCAATGAGAACTTTAATCTTTGCTCAGCTGAATTTCTGTAATTTGGAACAATATACACGCAAAGTAATTTTGGCACTTTTCCAGGGAAACCGAGGAAACTTTGTTTCCTTGGTTGATGGTTTCAGGAAATCAGTTCACTGATATGTAAGTTGTTCAGCTTCCACCCTCCACGGCGGATTTTGTGACTGTCACCTGCCTAGTGATTCTCCATATGGGAACAAGGAAAGCATTCCTTCTGTAGGTCTTCTAGTGCAATGGTCCCTGAATCGCTACATTTTTGAAATTATTTTATTATTATTATTTTTAAGATTTTATTTTAAATAATCTCTACACCCTATGTGGGGTTCGAACTTACAACCCTGAGATCAAGAGTCACATGCTCTACCAGCTGAGCCAGCCAGGCACCCTGAAGTTATTTTATTATTAATTCCCTTTTATTTCTCTTTTATATTATGTCACTGTATTGATTTGTAAATTGTCAGGTGGTTAGGTTGTTAAATTGTCTGAGGGGCGCCTGGGTGGCTCAGTCCATTGAGCATCCGACTTCGGCTCAGGTCATGATCTCACGGCTCACGGCTGGTGAGTTCAAGCCCCGTGTCGGCTCTGTGCTGACAGCTCAGAGCCTGGATCCCGCTTCGGATTCTGTGTCTCCCTCTGTCTCTGTTCCTCCCCCACTTGCACTCTGTCTCGCTCTCTCTCAAAAATAAAGACAGACTAAAAAAGAGAAAAACTTAAAAGTAAATAAATAAATAAATAGTCTGAGAGTTTCACTTCAAGACAGAAGGGGCATTACAAATCTCTGCTCTAACGGGTGTCTGGGTCTGAGGGTGTTGAGAACGCCTGCTCTGTCTTCTACAATGTGCCCTCCTGGTAGCCCAGATTTAAAGAGGGGAAACTGAGGCTCGGAGAGGTTGAGGGACTGGCCCAGGATCACAAAACCGACGGAGAGTACAGCCCGGGACTCAAACCTGAAACCAAACCTTTCAGGACTTGGCAGTGCTATCCCATGGGACCGGGGGACACGGCTCTCTGGAGCAACGTGTGACGGGGAGCGTAGCAACGTGTGATGGGGAGCGCTTACCCGTCCGAGCTCCTTGTCCTCCAAGGCCAGGACCCCTGTGCTCTCTGTGAACAGCTTCACCTTCACAGCGGGCAGTGCATGAGTTGTTGAGAAGTCGCCCTGGGTGCCCCAGCTGCAAAAAGAATCAGAGAGGTCAGTGCGGAGACCTCTGCCTTGACAATGCTACACTCAGCTGCCTTCTTCCTGCGTAGGGGGAACGCAGGGTTAACCCGAGGCAGCACTGGCTGTCGCATCCCCCCTCCCCCTCACCTCTGCTCCAAAGCAGTGACAGAGGAATTGTGACAGAGTGACAAAAAGTGTTAATTAACTTGTTAGGCAAATGCAAGACAGATGCTCAGAAAGTTGCCACCGGTCTTCACAGAGCTCTACAAGGAATCACTTGGAAATCGCATGAAATCGAGTTGTGGAGAACTTTTCCCATGCGTTTGCAGATACTCACAAACTATTTCAGGGTAACCACCAACACTTCCTTGCATCCTTTGAATCCCTAGTTCTTGGAAACAGTCTTAGAATTTGAGACCAGGCTTCATTTGGACAAAGCCAACACCTGACTTTAAAATGGGGGGAGGTGGGGGACCCCATTTCTTCTGGCATTCAAAGATGAGTTGTATAGAGGGATGGATGAAGCTCGAAGAGGAGCGGAAGGTAGAAGAAGTGGGAAATGACCTTTCCCACTGGTCTGTGGGAATCTGAGTCTTAAGATCTCTTCAGAGGAGAGCCTGGCTTACCTAGCGTCTGGGTAGGGTGCCAGACTGGGCTGACAGGAACTGCTGATGGACCCTCAGATGTGGCCTTTTCATCTACTCCTCACTGTTCTCACAGAGCCACACCATCCATTCTGCACCTGAAATCACTGCGATCTTCCAGAAGTGTTTACTGGACTGCACTGAGCGCCTGCCCTAAAGCCTTCCGTGGCACCTATTCCATTGCACTCAGGGTGCAATCCAGACCTCGGGGTGCAGCCTCCCACTCATCTGCTCCAGTGTCATGGGCCTCCTGATGGCACCACCTCAGGGCTGTGGCAGGCATGGTTCCCTCTGTTGGCAATGCTTCCCCCCACCTGGCTACCTCTTCAGAGTTCTGCTTCAAAAACACTTGCCCAGAGAACACATCCCTCAGTCTCCCAGTCTAAATTTGGTCCAGAGTTAAGCTCTCTGGGAGGTACTGTTTAATTTTCTGTCCTAGCAATCACTGGATTGGTAATTATTTATTTTTGTGCAATTGTTCAATAGCTGAATCCTCTGGGTGTTTGTTTGCTTATATGCATACCTACTACTTAGCATAGTACTTACACATAGAAGACACCTAAGAAATATTTGTTGAAAGAATAAGTGATGCCAATTATACACTCTTTTACAGAACCAGGAGACAGGAATAGATACAGTTTTGCATAGAGATTTTTTTCACTTTGCCTTATATGATGGCCAATTTCCATAATGGAGAAGATTCATTAAAATATTATTATTACTTTTAAGTTTATTTATGCATTTTGAGAGAAAAGAGAAAGACAGAGTGCACACATGTGAGCAGGGGAGGGGCAGAGAGAGAGGAGAGAGAGAATCCCAAGCAGGCTCCCAGCTGTCAGCACAGAGCCCGATGCAGGGCTCAACCTCACAAACCGTGAGATCATGATCTGAGCCAAAATCAACAGTCGAAGGCTTACGCAACTGAGCCACTCAGGCGTGCCTAAAATATTATTTTTTAATGACTCTGTAATATAACACCTTTTAGATATGTCATAATTGATTTATTTAACCAATGTTCTGTTATTGACACTGGGCTGGACATTACTTTTTTATTTCATCTTTGATTATTTCCTTGGCATAGAGAGCTAGATGGGTGTAAGGGATGCTCCTCTTAGAATGCTTCCAGAATTGTGCTCATCAACCAAACTTTCAAGTCTTGGGACACCGATTCCCAAAACGCTTTCCCCAAAAGTGGCAACCATCCTCCCACCGTCTGGGAATGAGTGCAAATCACAGTGCCTCTTGCCTTCATGGGGCCCCTATTCACTTCCTCTTCTGGCTTACTTTGTCATTGCTGTTTTCATGGGTACTCCTTTAACTAATAGCAGCCTTGAATATTTTACTTGGTGGTGGTTGTTTGTATTTCTTCTTTTGTTTCTGATGGGAATGACTTCTAGTCTCCATGTTGCACTCAAATAAACCCTGTTAACGCAAGGACATAAGGAATCTAGAGAAAGCGGACAAGACAGTGCCAGAAAAATGGAAGTCAAGGGGAACCCAGATGGGGACCCAAGGGCACAAAAGTCGCTGAGGAAGCACACTAGTCACGACAGAGAAAGGGAGAAGACATGTGAAAGGAGAGGCGACAGAACAAGAGGCAACAGGTTGCAAACACAACAGTGCAATGTTAGACGTACAGATAGAAGTTCTGAATTTTGGTCATCAGCAGCGGGAAGCAATCTCCTAAGACAGGGAAGGTATGTACTAGCAAAGGCAACACAACAGGGCGTAGGGTTTGAATCAGACACCCTTAGTTCAAATCCTGGTTAATCACGTATGAACTGGAGGACTTGGGGCAAGTCACGAATGTCCCTGAACCTCAGTGTGCTCAGCTATAAAACAGCCTCATTTCACAGAGTAGTTAAATAGTAAAGATAAATAAAAGTAGGGGTGCCTGGGTGGCTCATTTGGTTAAGCGTCCGACTCTTGGTTTTGGCTCAGGTCATGATCTCATGGTTCATGGGCGTGAGGACTGCATTGGGTTCCACGCTGATAGCAAGGGTTCTACTTGGGATTTTTTTCTCTCCCTTTCTCTCTGCCCCTCCCCTGCTCACACATATTCATGCTCACTCTCTCTCTCTCTCTCTAAAAAAAAAAAAAAAAAAACACCTAAAAAAAGATAAATAAAAGTAAGGATTAAAAAAAAAAAGTAACTAGCAGGCTTGAAACAGCATGAGAACCCAACAGATTTTGGCTACATTCCCTTCCCAATTAGGATATGTAAGATATATTCTAGTAACATGATGATCACTTTTGTGTTATCGATTCGACACATATTTATTAAGAATGTACTAAGTGTCCAACCCTGTGCTGGGCAAACAAGATAGACATTGACCTTCCTACTATACAAGGTAAGCAGTAAAACAGTTATCATCATCCCCATTTCACAGATGAGAAAACTGTGAGGAAACTCAAGATCTTGCCCATTTTATTCCAGTGAATTTTGACCAAGCTGGCTGGAACCCATATCTCTTAATTGCCATGTTATAGCTTTCACTGCTATTACTGCCATAATTATCAATAACAAGCATTATTAATAATTAGCAATATTGGCAAAAAACACAATCACTAATTTATTATTTGTGCTTAATTGTGCTATAAATCTCTTTGGGCATTTATCATGATTGGTCACAGAGATGAAGAAGATTCCTCCTGGAAACCAAAAGAGTTCTGGAATGAGATGCATTAATACCAAGCCACAGTGAGGCCTTGATCTCAGGGCCCCGGGGGTCCCACGCACTCTATCCCTATGATACCGTTGCTGGGACTGGTTTGTAGGGCTTTTCTGGCCTGCTCAGCGGGCACTAAGTCAGTTGGCCTGCAACCCTGCAGCTGTCCAAGGATGCTCTCAGCTCATTGAATGTTCAGCATGACTCAAAGTGTGGGACAGAGTGAGGCCTACAAGACCCTGTCAAGCTGGATGAATTCAAGCCTCTGGACGCTGCCTTGCCAGCCCAGTCCATTGGGACACTGAGTGGCTTTTCCTTCCCACCAGAGCTGTAGCTGTGCTTTTGGCTCCTTCCCACCATGACCCTTGGCTCACCTCAAGTTTTTAGGTCACTGCTGATTCCCAATTTACCCATCAGATTTCAAAATGGCAACCCAGCCCAGGGAGAAGGCCAAAAAGTCTCCAGTCTGATCAGGATCGGCTATGTCATTTTCAAGGCCTGCGCCAAGTGAAATGTTGGGCTTTCTATTCTAAAAGCAGGAGAAGGTGCCATTAAAGGTACTAAAAGATCAAGTGTTTTCGTTTCTCAGAGGAGTTCTGCTCAGATGCATGCTCCATTGTCCCATCAAACTTCACCTAACAAACACAGGTTCAGAGATAAAACAATGAAGAATGTCAAGACAGAAATGCAGAGCATTTAACCAAACATAGGTCTGAGCATGAGGCCTGTGCAGATGCATGGGTCACAAGCCCATGAATAAAGTTCTGAGTCCAATGACATCCAGTCTGACGACAGGCCATGCACTGATGATAGGCCATGCAGTGGAGACTGGCTATCACTGGCATTGACGTGAACCTTCACGCCTCACTATAGTTTTTGGATTTTGTAAAAATGACTCCTGACTTGTTTTCATAGATGCTTCCTATTTGTAGAAGACCAAGGGAGATTTAGTTATAAGCACCCTTCCCTCTCCCTTTCCCTTTTTTCCAAAGTCATGGAAATGTCTGCTTTTTGTCTTTTTCTAGCCACAGAGAGGCCTGAATATCTTTACAACAAAAAGCTAACATTTATTCAGAGATTACTATATGCTAAGCCCAAATTCTTCTCTTAAACGTGTTATTTGGTCATACACACATTTTATTCTTTTAAGTTGTCTTTGCCACCTTGTGAAATGCTTATAATTATTACTCTCACAGTTAGAGATAGTAAACTCAGACTCAGACCAGCTATAAGGTGTCCAGGATCACACACAGGGAGCAAATGGCCATCTGACTCCACAACCCAGACTCCTTGATGGCGCCATATTGCCTCCCTTCCCCGTTCCACCATCTTGCTGCTCTGTGTCTTGATCCAGTGAAATCAGTTACCTTTGTAACTCAAAGGAAGAGTTCTGTTTCAGGATTGATGGGGCCCTAGGCCACTGCGGCTTCTCAGTTTAGATTTATTTCACATGTTCAATATACTTCACAGAGTACTACCTAACCGATAGACAAATTAGCCAGCAGTGGAAGCATCAAAAGCCTTGGCCTTTGGGTGGGTCCACACATCATTAAATGAATCTCTTTCTCATTGTTACATTCTTCCCTGCTCATTTCTTTTGCTTTGCTGTGCACTGACTGTGGTTATTAAGATGAATGCGTCTTCTTAAACGTTTCCCAGAACGGAAACACAATTGCACTTTGATTTGAAAAGACCAG